ACACGCACTTCTTCTGCATCAGAAAGCAGCATTTGCTTTAGGAGTTAATCTGAAAAAACACATCAAGCCCAAACTCAGGATTGCTTGAAGTCAGTGGGCTTTGACAGATGAATTCCATCAGTTATGCAAAAACAAATTTGTGCTCAGCACAGTCAACAAACATCAGATAAAAGTAGCTTGAGATGTAGAGCTGGTTTGCCAGCAAGCAAGAGCAGCGAGCTTTCTCTAGCATTTGGTCAGACGAGAACAGCATGATCTTCAGATGGAAACATGTTTTTACAATTTTGAAATGTCTTTCAAACTGCTGATTTGACAGAAAAAAATTGCAAGGTTTTTAATCTTTATTATGAATTTGCTTTTTGGCTTACGAGAGTAAAATTATTTCTAAGAAAAATGACTTACTACAGGCATTGTAAACCTGGCACTAAGTAATATAAAACCTTTATTTTTTATTACTTTGAGAAAATTGGCATTTTTTGTTTAAGTGATAAAGAAAAAAAACTCCACCAAGTCCGTTGATTTAGAGAAAGGGCCATAATAGTGTCCTAAAAGCAGGGTATTTTTATTTTTCGAGAAGAGGTTGTTTGGGTTGTTTTGGTGTGTTTTTCGGAGGCAGTGTCTTGCTCTATGGCTCGAGCTGGCCTCAAACTCATGGTCCTCCTTTGTCAGTCACTTTGTTAGCCTCCACAGTACTACAGACATGTGCCACCATGCCCAGCCTGGGTTTTGTGATAAAGCCTTGCTTATGTGGCCTAGGTTGGCTTCAAACTTACCATCCTCCTCTCCCAGCTTCCTGAGTGCTGGGATGAGTGGATGTGCGATGCATGGCTAGGATGCTTACTTTTCATGTGATCTTCTAAGATAGGTTTTTCCTTTTGATGTATTATACTGTTATGCAACATGAGCTGCTGTTTCCATTTAGTGATTTTTAAGGAACATTTAAAGTTATAAGTGGAGAAAAAGGATTGTCATTTTGGTAGCAAATCCTGTGAATGACTTTCTATATATGTCTTGATTCTCAATTCCTATTTTCCTTAAATAAAACAAAATAATTATATGCAGCCATCTCAGATTATCATGACCTGGAGAAATATTTATAGCTATGCAGCTGAACTATCTAAAAGGTACCATAAATTTTAAAAAATACTATTTTGGCATAAAGAATGTTAAACTAGAAACATCTCTGTGAGACAAGAAAATATATTTGTTTGAAATGGAACACTTTAAGATCTCATTATTAAAATACATGATTGAACTGCAATAATTTGACAAGTCAGTGTGAATTTCTGTGCCATGTGGTTTTTAAAATTTTAAAGCAATCATAAATCTGAAGAAACAGCTCAGGAATGGTTAGCAGTGGGCAACCTCCCACAACTACCCCTTGTGCCAGTCCCTACCATGGTTCCACATTCCTCCACCTCCCCAGGTGGTGGGCTGATGGTGAAGCAGAGTAGAGCACGGAGAACTTCCTGATGTTGGGCAGCAGTTTCAGTATTCTCTGAGTGACTACATTCCCTGAGGTCCCAGGTTGTGCATGGCAGAGGCTTTGCCTCTTATCCTGGGGACCAGAGGAGGCCTCTGTTATGTACAGATTCTGGTCTTGAAAGAAATGATTTTCTGGAACCAACCTCTCACCTCCTGAGGCGCAACTGTGGTCCTCACTCCACACGTGGTTCTAGGTATCCAGGCCCTGATGCTCTCCCATTATCGGGCACCAAGAGGTTTTCCATTACTTTTCTATTATTCTTCTACAGATCTAGTATGCCTTCACCTATGCCCTAAGTGAATTTCTAGAGATAAAAATCACAGTTTCAGAGGTTAGAAAAAAAAGTTCTGTAATAACTAAACTGATATCATTCTCAAACTAAAAATATGTAATTATATCTTAGAATGTAATTCAAAATTCTGTCTACTATATTTTTTGAATATTGCTTACTGACAAAATTATACTACCAAGCTTCAATAATAATGTGAAATTTGACACTGTTCCTGTAATGTTTGTCATTCACCTCCTTTACAAATTCTCCAACCTATATGAAATCAATGTAATCATGTTACTTCTTTCTTTGTTTTTTTTTTTTTTTTTTTTTTGTTGAATAGTCATGGCTGGCCTGGTACTCTCTATGTAGACCAGGCTGGCCTCTATCTCATAGAGATCCACCTGTCTGCCTACCAAATGCTGGGACTAAAGGCTTGTACGATCATGCCTGGCTTCGTGTTACTTCTTAAAGAAAGCAATGCTAATAAAATATTTTTAAGTAAAAAAAAAAGAAGTGATCTGCGATTATGAAGAAATCATCTTTAAGAAAGGATTGTTATGGTTAAGGACTGCATATTTCAGGAGAGTCAAACAGGTTCTCTTGTAGGTATGAAGCCTGGCACATTACTAGGAAGTCATCAGTAGGAAGTCAGTATAACATTTTAATTTGCTGATGGTGGATTTCTTGAGTCTCATATAACAGTGAATTGCCAAGTGTTCCAAGCCTTAACCCCTCATTAGAGAAAACTTTTAACCCAATATTTACTTCATTTTTTGCATTCCTTTGGAATTGAAGTACGGTAGCTGTTTAAGGGGCATGTGAATGTGTTGGAGAACAATGAACCACACTGGAATCAGAGTGATTAAAACAGAATTTCATAGGCCCAGTTGGACTTTGGGTGGGGCCCATGGAGGGACTGTTCTCCTTACACTTTGACAGTGAGCTGCTTCTCCCCACCTCCCCACCCCCCGGTCACTTTGCACATAGTTTTTTAAAAAAATATTTATTATTTTTATGTGTATGCATGTATTGCCTGCACCCGTGTCATGCAATGCCCTCGGAGGACAGAAGAGCTGTTGGATCCTCTGGAACTGGAGTTACGGAAAGTTGTGAGCTACCATTTGAGTGCTGGGATTCGAACACTGGTCTTTTACAAGAACAGCCAAGTGTTCTTAACTGCTGAGCCATCTCTCCAGCCCCTATCTTTTTTTTTTTTTTTTTTTTTTTTTAATCTTTTGGAGACAGGGTCTCGATGCAGTCCCAGCTGACCTGGAACTCACTATGTAGACCTCAAGCTCATAGAGATCACCTGCCTCTGCCTCCCAAGTGCTGGGATTAAAGGTGTGCGCCACCATGCCCAGCAACAATGAGCTTCTTAATGGAGTGCAGGTGCTCACACATTGCCAAGGGTGAGCAGTCTCACAGCAGAGAAAGAATCTTCTCTCAAATGTTTTCATAAGGTGTTAAAAACTATTAAGGTAAGAAGTTCAGCGCTTTACATAAATAGTAAACTATGCATTTCATTTTATTTATGACCCCATGTAATAAGAAGGGACACTGTTAAAATAACAATCATTTAAAAAGCAACAACCAACAAACCAGTATTTAATTTGGTATTTAAAATCAATAATTAAAAATCAAATGGGAGCAGTATCTAAAGTAACGAAGATAATTCATAACTCAAGCTCTACTTATTGAAAATACGATAATTCATCATGAGTAAGCTAAAATGTACCTGTAAGGATAGAATAAGGGTATAAGTTAGCAAAGTGCTAAGTAAGATTTCAAGAAGCCCCTAAAATTATTTTTAAGGACTTTAGAACAAATTCTCTATGCAAACACTAATTCTTACATACATGACCTTATTTAAAGCAGTGTATTGGCATCCACTAGCACAATTTATGTTAATATTTTTGAGAAGCATTTTCTTACCCAGATATTTCACTAGTTTGCAAGAGTTATTCCAGAGATTTGTCTGAATTTCTGTTGTAACCTAAGCCTTTAATGAAGATATGGTTCTGAAAATAAGGTAGTTTTTCTACAGTCTGCTCACAAATAGAAAACAAATCTTTGGTTTTTGGTTAAAGTGGTAGAGAAGATTTTGCAAAAAGAACTACTAGATAACCAATACAATGAAAGAGCTGTTAACAGGCAATGGGAAACTCCAAACCCCATCAAGGTCAATAGAGTACCTAAGGCACCTCAGGTTCAGATGATACAATCGTCTTTGTTTAGAGTTCTAATATTCTATATACATGAGTCTTACCATCTGGAAAAGGCGAGGCTGAAAAGACGGCGTCCAACTACAACTACTGTAGGTCAGAAGAGAGAGGGAAGACCTCATAGCTGGGAGGGACACTGGGACGCATCTCCCATGATTACATGAGGAAGCTGAGGCCCAGTCAGGAGACAGAGGTGATACCAACTTATGTTTCCAGATTCCTAATCCATTTCTCTTAGAGCAGGAAAAGTCTTAATTTTAACTTTCATTGCCTAATAAACTGTGTCAAGTGTTTCACAGATGTAAATTTGAAAAAAATCCCCCATCAAATCTCCAAAGGCAACTTGGAAATGAATAACACTTTACTGTCTTAATTCCTTTATACCATGGGTTGGACAACTTAGCTGATATGTTAACTGATTATACAATTCCTTCCAATTCTATCTAAAAAGAGACCAAAACTAAATGAGAAAGTTACAGAGATTCTATTTGCGTATACATAAGGCCATGATACTTAATGTGAACCACCACTGCTTGAGAGAAGACATCAAACATCCTTCTGAGAGAAAGCTCTAGTCCAGTAGTAGACTTCACTGTCAACGGGGGAAGATGGTGCTTATGTTTTAAAAACATCTACGAAGCTCACATGCAAGACAGGACATCCGAGATTTGTGATGGATATGAACATTTAAGGCTGTCATTTTCAAGTATAAATGTATAGTGTTTCATTATCCAATCTGTGCCTGTTAATAGACAAAGCTGTAAGCACAAATCATGGAAATTAACAGAAGCTCGGCAAAGACCAAGTTGTAGTTTAGGCAACAGCAAATTTAAATGTAAGAAAGGCTAGAAACAAATTACGGATTAGATTCTGCTTCTCTAAACTGCATTAGGTGGTTCACATGGAAGCTGTTTAAACACTATTGTCTACAGCATGGCATTTGGAGTAAGGCAGATCCATAGCAGACCAAAGGAGCCAGATGAGGTAACAGAGCCATTTTAATAACTGGTTTGCTTCTAACACACTCTGATGGCCTGTTTCCCGGAGGAAGAATCAAAATGGCTCCAGTATACCAAATAAGCTTTACAAACGAACATTAAAATTTGTTTCCAAGATTTTTTTCAAGAAGAGTTTTTCACCTTGAGACCTACTTATATTTTTTGTGGGTTAAATGAATCACCATTATTTACTTATATAAGTTTGTTAATAGTGTAAAATGTGATATGCCTGGAGAAATGGGAAGCCAGCAATGTTCTGCTTAGGTGTCACTTAACTCTAGGTGTACTAAGTTGTGGTTCTATTAACTCCACTATGGTAAAAGGGCCTACATCTGAAAGTGGTCATCCATTTTATAATTCCATGTGACATGCCTAGATTCTAGGTATTTTCTGGCACAATTTAAATAAAGCTTCCTAAGATCTGCTCAGCATTCATACTTGTTTTGTTTGATGTACACAGCCAATGTGGCAATTAAAAAATGGCCAAGTAGTTCAGAGAGCTAAATTGAGTCCAGGATCGTGGCAAACTCTGACCCAAATTTGTAATTTGAGCATGTAACTCATGCAGTTTGGAGAGCATCAAACTAAATCTACAATTGCCAGAAGCCTTGTTACAGTTTAATGCACATTAACTAAAATGTGTACATTTTTAGTGTTCATGATAAATGCAGTTATGACTATTAAACTTTTGGCATTCTTTAAGAAAGCATATTAAGCTTTACTACGGAAATATTTAGGTTACACTTAAGTTGTGCTCAAGTAATAAAACATTTGTTTTGATCTCATACATTCTCTCCTCAGGTGTGGCCCATCTCCTGTACACTTGGAGCGACCTTTGGCTATGTGGCTGGCCTGGTTATTTCGCCACTCTGGATATACTGGAATAGAAAGCAACTTACATACAAGACCAATTAAGAGGAGCAAAGGGAGAAGATACTTCTTTGTGCAGATTCCATACGGGCTGTGCAGAAATGTATATGGTCAAAGCCAAGCAGTTCCATTTACAGCACTGGTTTTTTTTTTTTTTTTTAATGTTGTTTCAACATGATGTGATTGTAGCTTTTTAAACTATGAAACCCCTGAGAGATTGTACCTTCTAGTTGAAATAAAGTATTTATAATAGATTGTGGCTTCAGACGCTGTTGGCTGCTTCTCAGACTTTTAAGAAACATTCTTAATGAATTTTGTAGAATTCTGAGGAAAGGTTCCTTCCTACCTTTCAAGTTTCAAACTGCTTCATTAAAGAGGTCTGGGCATTGTTGCATTTCAAATGCTTTCTGAGACAAATGAACAGTTTCCTTGGCCACTGAAGATGTTTCTCACGTAATCAAACAACAGTTTATACATCTCGATCCTATTCTTTTTTTAACTGTGTGTTTCTTTGGAGTTAAAATGGCTATGATAGCCTCATCAAAAACAGTCTTCAATCCCTTCTGGGTTAAAGCTGAACATTCCACATAGCAGCATGCGCCTATCTGGGAAGGAGAAAAAAAGCCCAAATATATAAAACAGTTTTTACATGATTGTATAATACAGCACACATTAAAAGGAAAAGTATAAAATACAGCTATGCAAAAAAAACAAAACCCCAAACCCAAATGCATCCATTTTCATCATACTCAGAGATGGCTAATTATTAGATACTGGTGCATGTCCTTCCAGACTTCACTATGAATAATTCTTTCATTCAAATATTAGATACCCGCTATATATCAAACACTGTTTAGGTTCTAAGGTCTGTCAGTGAACTAAACCAATGGGTCAAAGTGCCTGGTAGTGTGGCGCCTCCATTTACTTGCATTTCACAGAGGAGGTGCACAAAGAAGGAACACAGCAGACTGCTGGCAAATGCTGAGAAAGCAGAGTGAGGGAGACGGGAGTATGGTGGTGTCAGGGAAGCCGTCTCAAGTCAATGTTGAGCAGTGAGGGATCCTGAGGGGCCACAGATGCAGCAAATACTTGGCATATCCAAAGTACACTAAAGCTAGGGGCAGGAGAGGTAAGCATTGAAGTACCAGAGGTCAGTGGAGCAGTCTGGAGGCCATAACTAGCTTCCACTCTGAGAGGGGACCTGCTCCTTCACTGAAAACCAACTATACACTCTTACTTGCAAAATGTGACAACCCACAGAACCAAATTAAGTTCCTATCCTGTTCTCATGCAGATTCACCGCATTTTTGAGGGAGGAAACCAACCCTAAGCTAGTAAGCACAGAGACAAAATGCCAGACGGTAAGATGTAGTCTCAAGAAAAATAGGAGTCAGGGCCATACTGAAAAACTAACATTTGAGCTGAGACCCGAAAGGAGGGAGAATGACTAACACCCACGTAGAGAGGAACCTTCCAAGTGGAAGAAGCAACACAAGGACAAAGGCCCTGAGGCAGAATTTGGGGGCCTGGCAAAAGGCCAGTGTACTGGAGAACATTAAAGCTGAGGTGAAATGAACCAGAGACCACTGCTAGGGCTTTGATCTTTACTCTGCCCTGGAAACCCACCGGGATGTTAGGGTAAGCAGTGACCTGACTGATGGAACCTACATCTTCAGACTCTGATGCTGTGTTGTTAATAGATTATCAGAGGGCAGAGACTATAGCAGTATTCAGCAGGCTGGAGATGGTGAGAAAGAAGTGTGGGGAATACAGATCATTCTGAAGATAAGCAACACACATCGCTGAAGTGCTGAGTGTGTGGTATGAGAGAAAGAACAAAGTCAAATATGACTTTAAAGACTTTCAACCTAAAGAACTGGGAGGGCAGACTTGGAGAGTAGAGTTGGGATTTCTGTTTTGGACATGTTATTTGAGATGCTTGGCCACTCAAATGGGCTTTTGAGTGAACAACTAGTCATGTCTAGAGTTGAGGGATATGATCCGGGATGGAAAGAAATTTGGGACCCATTAGTCAAGCTGTTCAAGCCACAAGCTGATAGTTTACTAGGCCTGGGAAGTGAGCCTGGTGACTGGGTCTGGCTGTAGAACACAGAGTGCTAAGCTTGGGGCCCTCTGACATTTAGAGGCCAGGAAGATTAAGAGATGGTGGAGAGGCACAGGGGAGAGAACTATGAGAGGGCACTCATGGAAGCCAAGTGAGGTAGTGTTTCCAGAAGGAACCCGTAGCTCAGTGGTAGAGTCCTCATTTTAGCACGTGTGAAGCCCAGTAATCCCAAATAGGAACTAAATGCTGTTGACATCTAGAAAAGGGGTTTTACTGTTTTGTAAGGACTTTCCCCCTTGAACTGCATGATAACTATGATGGATCTCCACAGATATTTTAGCATCAACTGTCAATAGATACATACATGGGTTGTGGGCATTAGGAACAATTCAGCATCTTTGTAGTCACCTCTTTAAGCACATCCTTAACAATTGTTTCTAATGTAAATTGACAAATTATAATTATATACATTCATAGGGTACAAAGTAAAGAGAAGTGTATAGTGCGGAATGATTAAGTCAATATAATGAGTGTACGTATTACCTCAAGTACTAATCATTTCTAGTAATGAGAACATTTAAAAGTCTCTTAACAGCTTTGAAATATAGAATGTAATGTTCTTAACTATATGTAATATATATATGTATATTAACTATAATCATGCTATGCAACACATCTCAAAAACTTCCTCTTCCTGTCTAAGTATACTCTGACCCACATCCAAACCATTTTCTTAGAATAAATTGCTACATAAGGAATTTTTTTAACAAAAATGTACAGGATTTAAAGGCTTTTGCATATTGTCAAGACCGCTTTCATTCAGCTACCACCAGCGTAACAGAGTGCCTGTTTTCCCTGTGCTTTTTTTTTTTTAAGCATTTTATATATTATTTTTATTTTACGTGTATGAGTGTATTGCCCGCATGTATGTGAGTGCACCTGTGTCGTGCAATGCCACGGAGGTCAGAAGAGGGCATCAGATTCCCCTGGAACTGGAGTTAAGGACCGTTTGTAGCCGCCATGTGGGTGCTGGGAATCGAACCTGGGTCCCCTGCAAGAGCAGTCAGTGCTCTTAACTGCTGAGCCATCTCTCCAGCCCCTTCCCTGTGCTCTTAAAACAGTGAGTATAATTCATGTTTCATTTTTTGCTAAGTTTATGTGTGGAAATTTAGCTCATATCTAAATGAATTTGACCATTTCTGTCTCCAGTGCAATCTTCATTTTTGGGTGAATTTTCTATGTATGTTCTTAGTCCATTTTTCTGTTGGGGCACATGGCTTTTTGGATTAACTCATTTATGCAGGGGTCCTGGCACACTAAAGATGTTAGTCCCTGTTATGCACTACATATCCAGTTTGTGACTCTTTACTTCCTGGCATTTGCTGTGGCCAAACATATTTATGTAGTCAAATCATCTGCACTTACGATTTTCCCTTTATGCATTCAGAAATTCCTTCTCTCCCCAAAATTAAAAATTGAATGTAAAAAATTCCTTAAGTGATTTGTTAGTGAAAAGATTTATCTTTTGCTTTGGGGAAGATTGTCTTCCAGAAAGTTTTCTTGCTTTCTTCTGTCTCCTAACAGCACATTTTAAAAGACCTTATTAGATTCTACTTGCACAAAAATTCTATTAAAGTCAAAACATTTAAAAAAGAGAATTCAGTAATCTTAGGGTCAAATAGAGGGAAAAAAGTAAACTTAGTTTTGAGGTAAGGAAAACTGTAAGTTAAGTTAAAAGATATTGTATGTATCATTATTAAATGTTGGGCTTTTTTAAAAATCCAGTCAGTATTTTCAATTTTTAACCACAGATTTAAACTATCAACTTATGCCACTCCCATCCCAACTCCATGAGTTTTAACTGAAAATAGAGCCTAATTTGGCACAGCACAAATGTTCAAATAATTAAGAAGGACATGAAGTCTCAGCACCTACTTCTGATGTCTCCTTCTATGCGTGACCTTTAAAGGATATGGTTGTAGAAAAGCCTGGGGCCTGGGAACCTAACTCTGCCATTTTTTACAGTGGAATCTTGAGCAAGTTTCCTTAGTATCTCCAAGCCTCCACTCTTACCTACAACCAGGGAGAGAGGGCTGCCTCACTGAGTAGGTGCAGACTAAAGGAGATCATGCCTAAGAAGCACTCAGCACAGTTCCTGGCACACAGTAAGTGTACACTAAATGTAGGCATCTACTGTTATCTATACATTCACCTTTAAATTCTGCAAGTGTTCCATTACCTCTTTTGCTAGTTTCTGTCCTTGTTCCACACATATAGGTTTTTCTTTCATATCATTCAGTCTTGCTAAAGTTTTGGGGTCATCTCGGAGATCAATCTAGTTAAGAAAGATCAATAATGTCTCACAATATTATGCCTTTAAAAAGAAATCAAAGCATATAGTCCCATCTAATCCTCATATTAAAATAAGAATAAGTGAAAAAATAGATTTTTTAAAGCTAATATAATTTTTGAAATTATTTCGATACAAGAATATGATAGAACTTACTAATTTGAAACCAAGATGAAACACATCATTTGCTGATCATGGGGCCATTTGTCTGACAGCAATCCCCCAAGACTAGCTATAAAGCTGCTGCTGCTTCTTTTGCTTCTTCTTCTTCTTTATTTTTTTTCTGGAGAGGAGGACTGAACCCGGGGCCTAGCGTTCTACTACTGAGGTAAATCCCAACCCTATAAAGCTTATTCTTAAATAAATAAAATCAAAGCAGACATACCTGAGTTCCTATTAATAAAAAGGGTACATTTGGTGCATATTCCTTAAGTTCTGGTACCCATTCCTCTTTCACGTTTTGAAATGAGGCTGGATTTACCACAGAGAAGCATATGAGGAAGACATCAGTCATGGGGTAAGATAAAGGCCTCAGACGATCATAGTCTTCCTATGGAAAAAAGGGAAAGCTCACTATTTACATTTACACATCTACAAATTAGTAACAACATATCATTAGAGCATACAATTGAAAGGCACATCCAGGAGATCCACAAGTAGGATGTGACCATGAAACAAGATGATTCCATTTGCTTTGTTTCTTCTATTTGAAATGAAAATTTAAGTGTAATTAGTAAATCCAATGAAAACTGAGAAAATAGAGGGGTGTGGTGGTATATTCTTATAATGCCAGTACTTGGGATTATAAGGAAGGAAGATGGAGAATTCAAGGTCACCTGAGCTACACAGTGAGATCTTGTTTCAAAACAAACCCAACAACAAAGAAACACACACACACACACACACACACACACACACACACACACACAAGAGAGAGACAGAGACAGAGAGAGAGAGAGAGAGAGAGAGAGAGAGAGAATAGATTGTGATTACTAAAGCTATCACTGGGAAGTTTGTACAAAGAATTGAGGAGAGCTAGCTCTTAGGTTTATAACTTATAATAACATATACTGAATATGTATTACAAGTAGTATTCTAATATCACAAGTACTGGTTAATATGGTCTTTCATAGACTACTTAATCCTTTCAGCTCTATGACCCAAGCACCCTTGTCTCTGTTATCCTTTTGTATAAACCGAGGCATGGAAGGTGAAAAACTTAAGGATGGACAGTCATAGTAAAGGAGCTGAGATTCAAACCAGAGGCCAGGGGCTATGCTCTTAGTACTTAATGACACCTCTCCTGTCTCTCCCCTTCCAGTCCACTTTATGTATATGAATACTTAAAACAGAAACATATAAATCCACACTCCCTACTTCCCTCTCCAACTTCCATTTCTGTTCTCAGATGTTTTCATGTGTATCCTTCCAGGTTTTCTTTGCACTCATACACCTGTAACTCCATACATCTATGTATCTATAAATGCTATCAAACAATGCATTCTGCCCTATGACTCTGTAGAGACTCCCTTACCTAGTCTGTCTTGGTAATCTCTCCACACCAGACTATGTTGGATTACCATATGAGTTAAACTGCTGCTGTTGTGGATATCTTCCTGATGAGTGTCTGAGTCTCTGTCACAAAATGCAGTGAACCTTTTTTTTTTTTTTTTGCATGGACTATTTTATGTGATACAAAATTCTACTTATTTACATTCTAGCAAGGGAATGGAGTCAGGACTCCATTTTGTCATGGCTGGTTTGAAGGAAACCAGACTACCTCCCTCTTAAATGACCCAGTTCATTGCTAGAACAGTATAAATGTGGAACTAAGAATATTTAAAAACATCTTCTACTTAGCTCCTGAGTGGACAATTTTCCTTTCATGTTCTGACATTTTTCTCACTAGAACTTTCAACTCCAGCAGCTGTCCCTAAGTACCTGCAGGCAATAAGTTCAGGATCCCCATAATACCAAAATCTATAGATGTTCCAAGTCCCTTGTATAAAATGGTGCAATTATTTATATATAGCCACTGCACATCCTCTTGTATATTTTAAATTAGTTCTACGTTGCTTATAGTACCTATAGAATATACGCAGCTGTCTTCTTGCTTAGGGAGTGATGGCAGAAAAAAAGGTCTGTACATGTTAAGGTATATTTTTTTCCCTAAAATATTTTCACTCCATAGATGGGTTAAATCTATGGATATGGAACCTGAAGACATGAAGAGCCAACTACATAATGTCTCTAATTCTTGAGTCTGGAGGTTAACCATGTAAAATCTCTATGCATAGACACACAAACACTACCACACACACATATACACACACACACACACACACACACACATATATATCTAATATTGTTATTGTTTTTGTGGGGGTTTTGGTAAGTCTTTTGAGGGCCTAACTCTGGTGGCAGGTGGCTTTACCCATTGAGCCATCTCGCCAGCTCATTGAAGGACATTTACTCTGGAGCCATGAAAGTAAAAGATTTCTGAAGTGATGGACAGAACAGGATAGTGGGAATGCCAACCCCACTCTTCTTCAGTCTGTACTTTCAATGTAAAGGACTCTACTTGGTCTTGACTAAAGTTCTGCCCTGGGCTTAGAAATTAGGCTGTAGGCAACATTCTAGTTACTGCCTGATTTTCTGACTTCTTGCAGTGTTCTCAATAAGCTAGTTTTCGGTATTCTGATCTAAAATTTGGGTGAAAAAAAGAGGAAATCAGTAGTGAGAAATCAAGTACAGTAGGTATGGAACATGTTATACTCTGGCCAGCTGTTGCCTATACATATATGTGTATGTGTGTGTGTGTGTGTGTGTGTGTGTATTTATATATCCAAAAATATAAGATTAGCCGGGCGTGGTGGTGCACGCCTTTAATCCCAGCACTCAGGAGGCAGAGGCAGGCAGATCTCTGTGAGTTCAAGGCCAGCCTGGTCCACATAGTGAGTTCCAGGACAGCTAGGGCTACAGGGAGACCCTGTCTCAAGAAGACCAATATATATATATCATAAGTAATCCAATTACATACCTCTAAAAAGAAGCCAAACAGATAGCCAATACATATCTGAAATGCTCAACATCTGCAGCCATCAAGAAAAAGCAAAGTTACGTGAAGATTGTATCTCACTCCCATGAGAATAGCTATCATAAAGGAAACAAAGAGCAAAGGCCAGTAAGGCTATGGGGGAACTAAACCCTTTTACTTTGTTGATGGGAAATATAAATTAGTACACCCACTATGAAAAACATTAAGGAGATTCCTCAAAAAAAACGAAAAGTAGAACTACCATACGATCCAACATACAATAGAGACACTTGAACACCCATGTTTACTGCATTTTTCACAGTAACAAAGTTATAGAATCAGCCTAGGTGTTCATCAGCAGGTGATGGATAAAGAAAATGGAGTACGTATGCACAATGGACTTCTATTCAGCCACAAAGAACAAAATCATGTCATTTGCAGGAAAACAAATGGAACTGGAAGTCATCATGTTTAGCAAAATAAGCCAGACAGAAAGAAAACATGTTTTCCCTCGTTTGTGGAGAGGAGCAGAGGGAAAGTAAGAGAGCCAGGCAGAGAGGAGACTAAGAGTGCAGCTGGGAGAGTGGATGCAGCGGAAGTATAACGGATGCACATGTGGAGACGTCCGTGAAATCCAGTACTGTGGACAGTTAATGTGCACTCCAAATTTTAAGTAGGGCACATTTTGAAAATCCAGTGTGAGTGTTAAGACGAATGCTCTGGTGCCCTGAATGTGCTTTCCATTCCTCCGCTTGTTTTGAACAGCAAGCAGGCAAGAGAATAAAAAGAGCCTTCACTTTCAGCATTGTACTCAGCAGCTCTACACTTCTGAGCAAAGTGTACTTAGCGTGGTCTGGGAATGGGGCATTCTCATTAAAAAGCACTCCTCATCCATATTTACATTCCCATTTTTCACAGACACAGAAGTGGGATTAGTATCCCACAGGATTCAGAGGAATAAATGAAACAATACCACTAAAGCGCTCAGCACTGCACAGAGCACACAGAGGACTCCTGCCTGCTGTGTGAAGGAAGCCGATTCTCCAATTCCCCTGCAAAGCATGCAAGGTCCCAGGAGTCCTACATGTTCCTGGCTTTACCTCCCTCCAACTGCAGACAAGTTTCTTTACTGAGAAATAAAGTTCTCTTCCCTCCCATCAAAACATGCAAACTGAGGTCTCCAGGGCAATATAATTTTCTGATTAATAAAAGAGAATGATAATATATTATTAGTGTACTAATTAGTCACTTTGGAACTTAATAGGTTTATCTGAAATATCAAAGGAAGATAATATATAAATACACACACATTTGGTTTAAATTGTTGTTTATGAGAGGTTTTCTTTTTGAGACAGGGTCCCTGTAGCCCCAGCTTGCTTGGAACTTGCTATGTAGACCAGACAAGCCTCAATCTCACAGAGATCTGCCTGCCTCTGCCTCTGCTTCCCAAGTGCTGGGATTAAAAGGCATGTTCCACCACCTCTGGCCCAAGATTTATATTTTTTAAGAATGCCAAGTTAGTTAGGCACAGTGGTGCAGGCCTTTAATCCCAACACTTGAGAGGCAGAGGCAGGTGGACTTCTATGAGTTCAAGGCCAGCCTGGTCTACATAAGCGAATTCCAAGCCAGCCATGCTGACAGAGATATTTTAATGAAATTTTTACTTTTCAAGCAAGTTTTCTTTATCAGGGAAATAGAAATTGTATTTTTTCTGGGGGAGGGAGGGCAGGAATGAAGATATGAAAAGAAAAAGTAATTTAATTAAAAGTTTCTTGAACTGTTTGATTATATTAATCTAAATACTTCACACAGAACATCAATTTGACATGCAGATTCCTTTTATGACCATAGTGAATTGGACCTGACGTTCTTAGCAGCAGCAAGTGAGCAAAAAGTAGGATAATTTGATCAATTTTTTTCTAGGTTATTAAATCACAAATTTTGTTAGAATAATTACATGCAAAGAGCTAGGGTTATCAAAACAAAATGAAAGCAAGTATGTTCAGAACACCTTGGAAACAAGTGATACTTTTTCAGGCTAACCTATCTACAATGAACTCCTTCTGTCTGTTATCTTGGGCTAAATAACTGACAGTCTAAGAATGAGACCTTTCTGTTTTCATCCAGCCTGAGTAATTAGAAGGCTAATAATAGAGAGCAAATTAAAAACTAAATTATCCCTTGTACATCTGTGCATACTGTACCCAGCATTACAGAAAACTGTTTCTACCCAGTGTACCATATCTTACATGAACTTAATGTGAAATGCTGGGTTTGAAAATGCAAACATGGAAGCATGCAGAATCTTTCATCTCAAGCTAGACATCTGAAATAGAAACAAAATGAAGGTTAAATAAAGAGCATGTGCCCTTACTTTTAAATGACCATTTATCAAAGTCAGAACTTCTCTCAACTGACTTTCCTGTGTCGTTCTAATTAGCAAACCGATTATATTTTTTAGTTCTAATTTTAAAAGTAGGCATTCAAACATTTAACTAGAACATCTCAAAGGA